GAGTGTCGTGTCCTGCGATGTCCTGGATGGTGTCGTAGTCCGCGGGTTGTTGTTGCTGTTAACTCCCCCAGCAGCAAAGTAGTTGTCGGAATCCATGCCCGCTTTGTTTTGGCGAAGTTCTGCTCGGCTGATGTTGTCTTGCTGCATGTTGCGCATCTCGTGCAGCAGGAGCTCTGATTGTGTTCCGTAGTCCACTTTGTTGTCTTCGTCGCCCGTAGAGGTACGGCGTCCGAGCAATGACGTGAAGTTCATCACGTCCTGTTCATATCCGAGACGGTCGTCCCACCGGTGAGGGGGGATGGTGTTGGGTGGAGTCTCGATGAAAGTCACGTTCCGGCTCTCGTAGACCTTGTCTTTGCCCTCCACGTAGATCCGGTACGTCTTGCTGTCAGGTCCGTAACCGCAGAGCTTGCCTTCAAAGGCCCGATCGTCTAGCTTCTTCTTGTATCGCTCGTGATGAACGAACGCGCGGGCGCCGATGGCACGAAGTCGAGAAAGGTCCGGGGTTGTGTTGTACATCTTGGAATACGGCGTGGCTCCCCCTAGCGCCGCGTGTGGGGTCCTGTTGGTCAGGTATGCTGCAGTCATCATGAGCTCCCCCCACATGTGTTTTGGGAAGTCTCCATCGCGCAGTAGAGCTCGAGTCACAGCCGTAAGTGTCTGGCCATCCCTTTCTGACACTCCGATTTCTCGGGGCGTGATGGTCGCGGCGNCGCAGTAGAGCTCGAGTCACAGCCGCAAGTGTCTAGCCATCCCTTTCTGACACTCCGATTTCTCGGGGCGTGTTGGTCGCGGCGGATTCCAGCTTGATCGCAGACTCCCTACAGTAGTTGCGCATTGCTTCCCCAGTGGTCTCTCCCCCTTTGTCACAGCGTAGAACCTCGATGCGGTAGGCTTCAGATGCTACTTGCATGTTGTAGGCGTGCAGAGCTTGCGTGGTTTCGGTCCTGTCGCGCATTAGGTGCACTTCGCGCATTCTGGTAAAGCCGTCGGTCGCTTTGGCGACACAGGAGTAGGTGG